CCCCAAAACCCCAAAACCCCAAAACCCCAAAACCCCAAAGGTAAAATTCCAAATTGGAATATAATAAATCTGTAGCAAGGAATAATTTCAATGAAAATGAGTAAGTCTGCCAAATAGATTATTGAGAGTATTGGCTATATAGTCCACTTTAGTGTCCACAGAAGCTTTTACTACCCATAGAGAATGAGATGACCCAATATTTCCGGATTTTAATATGAAGTATAAGATAGTTTTTGGTCAGCTATCTTGTGTGTTTAAATTCATTGCTTTATCATTGCTTTTGTGTTTCAACATACTTAAAACTTTGAAACCGATCCTTTTACTCAAGTTTTACGGCTGCTTCAAGTATTTATAAGATCATTTATTCCTAAGACCAAGAAATTAAGCATCTAAGTCTATGAATTAGAGTCAAAATTGTAAAAATAGATATTAAAGAATTTCTCCTCTCTAAATTTTCTGAATTTTACCATATAGATAAAAAGAAGAGCCCTAAGAAAGACTTTTTGCAAGTCCCAAAACAAGGATCAGGAAAGCATCCCCGCATAAGAGTTGATGAAGAAATGGGGAAGCATCAGGAACCCCGTAGAAGGTACAGAGATGAAGAGGAAAGCCAAGAGGAATACGTGGATGATAACCAACAAGAGGTTCAAGAATCTGAACAAGAATCTAGTGAGGAGCCTCGTCCAAAGAGGCCAAAACACTCTCTTTTACCATCAGAGAGCGAGTATGAGTCTACAGGTAAGCATCTAGCTGGGAACTTTCTTATCTTGGTTTCTTCAAAAAGCTTGTTTTCTGAAAGAGAACTTAATTAAGATTTATAATAAAAGATGGAAATCTTGCTAGAATTTTCGAAAATGTTATTGGGTCATATATCAGCTAAGCATTAGTTGAAACATCCCCCTGTTATTCAAATCACAGAGGGTGGCATTACCTTTTGATTTAGATGGCAACCCAGAGAATGACTGCGACTGGTGAAAGCAAGACTTCTATGATCCAGTCACTTTGCCTTGAGAACACCAAATTTGTAGGAAGTGATTCCAACGTGTCATCCACAAAAGGCTCAAAGTAAGAAGAATAGTCAGGTGCTTGACTTGAAAAGAGAAGGCGCCACTCGATTACTTAAAGAAGTATATGAAGAAAAAGGACAGGAAGCTCTTTAAGAAGGTTAGAGACCATATAAAAGTTGAATCAAATCCAAAGCTTCACTTTTGCCCAATTGAAGGCTGACCAAAAGTTGTTGAAGGCATTAAAGGCAAAAAGAATACTCCCAAGTTTGTAACCTGAGCAAATGGGCATTCATTTTGCATTCTGTGCAATCAGATTAAGCATAAAGGGAAGACTTGAGAGGAAGCTAAAAGCAAATGGTCTTTTTATGATAATCCAAAAACTAGGAGATGTCCTCACTGTAAAACTATTATCCAAATCACAAAAGTTGTAGATGCTCATGACCTTGAGTGCCAAGTCTGAGGAAATAAAGTACCCGAACAGAAAAGGAAACATCGAAGCACTCTTGGGAATATTCTCACCTATGTATTTCTCATCTTTATGACTCCTTTCTCTGCTGCAAAATAAAGTTTACAAAAGCACTGGACTGAAGGACGACCTGAAACCCAAAGACGAATATGATGACAGTGATGATGAAGAAGAAAAGAACAAAGAGAGAGAAGAAAGAGAATCAAAAATGCCTGTTAAAATCCCACCTGGTCTCAAGAAAGCAGGCAAAATTCTTCTAGTTGTCCTTACAATCGTTGTAATGATCTTTGGAGGAGCAGTAATCTTAGCACCATGAGCTTATTTTATGAGGATTAAATCGCATATGGAGGAAACAGAAGAAAAGCTGTCTTTTAAAAATCAATTCGATCTTGACAGTGATGAAGAGGAAAGTGATAGCGAGTATACATAAAGAATTCATTAAAAGAAATCTCTACATGAAGTTATTTTTAAAATTCCAATATCTCAAAAGTTGCATTTTGATTCTTCTACTGACTCTGATGATCTAAATTCTATACTATATCGTCAACTAATTAAAATTGGTATGGGGTTTTGGGGTTTTGGGGTTTTGGGGTTTTGGGG